GGTCTGGGCCTCCCTTCTGAAGCTGCTGCCCCCGCGACCCGACCCCGGATAGGCGGAAGAAAATGGATGGATGGATGGATGGATGAAGACTAATGACAAAAGGCAGCTATCTTTATTTATCTTTATTCATCTTCTAAAATCTAAATTTATCTTCTATAAATACTTTGAAACTTGAAATATTTACTCCAAGCATCTCATTTAAGATAGAAGTAAAACAAGAACTAACTGTTTCAGCTCAAGCTGTCAGTCTGTTGTTGTAGTTGTATCTTTATTTGACACACTTACAATAAGTGTTGTTTTTATCACACAACTGTGTTAAATAATACACTGCAGGTAGTCAGTATGATTAGTCAGTACATGCACTGTTAGTTGAAACGTACCAGCTTGTACATGTGGGACATGATTACCACAGATTCAGCTCAGTGTAGTGAACACAACTGTTAGCTGTTGTGAAATGCTGACTCAGCTGTTTTCTGTGCGGAGCGGAGACATCGAGGACGTGCAGCACATTGTGTGTTAGATTAACCCAGGCTTTTTACAGTTTCTGTTGTCTGAGCGCTTCATTTTGGGACTCTTCATCTCCTTCTTTAGCACTTAGCATGAACATGTCAACAGTGTAGCCGTTAGCAGACGTGCTAACGTAGCGTTGTGTAACACAAATAGCCAGACAAAAGGGTGCTGAATATAACAGAATCTATTTTTTACAAAGCTTGGAGGCAGAAAGTTTGCCTCGAAGCTTTGTAGTAATGAAATTACTGGAATTATTCAAGGAATTGTTTCTTTCTGATCCTGATCCTTCCAACTGTTCCCTCCACGTCCTGAGAAACCTCAGCTGTAGTGAAGTTTGTGCAGATAAACTTTAAAAGCTAACTTCCACCTTCACTGGATCTAAGTGCAGAAATCCTGTGCAGACTGAACGTGGTCCATGTGGACTCCTGGAGACCTGGTGCAGTCAGCAGAGCTGCTCCTGCACAGAACCAGACGGTGTGAGAGCTGCAGCACTAACCTTGTGTTCAGTCAGGGTCAGCAGAGACGGGAAGCGCTCGCCACAGATGGGACACATGTAATGTTTGGCAGGGCCGCGGTGCGTCTGAGCATGCTCACGAAGACCGTTCTCAGAGAAGAAGGTCCTGGAACACACATTGCACTTGTGGTTTCCTTTAATGAAATCTGCCTTCTTCTTTCTGGAACCTGACACACGGAGGTATTTCTCATGGTTATTGCTCTGAACAGGAGGAAGTGTTATCTGACAGCCAGGAGCAGCACTTCTTACCTGCATCATCTTCTCCTGGCCGGATGTTGTGGTCCCGCAGCCTGTGGTTCTGCAGGAGGGACTCCATGGTGTAGGCCGCCCCGCAGATGTCACAGGCGTACATGGGCTCAGAGTTGTCCAGCTCCTCCTCTCCGCCGCTCGCCTCATGACTGTTGGCTGCGTCCCCCCCCTGGGACGAGGCTCCCCCCACAACGCCGCTCTTCAGCAGGAGGTTCTGTAGGTCTGCCTGCTCCACAGCAGCAGCTGTTGCTCTGTCAGCTCCTCCTGCACCGTTTCCTCCTCCTCGTTTGGAGGTCTGAGCCAGACCGTTGGGGGTCCCGTTCTGACTCCCGCCGCTCCCGGTCCCACCTCCGTTCCCCTCGAAGATGCAGTGTTTGTCTCGCAGGTGCCTCTCCAGCAGGGCGATGGCGTGGAAGGCTTTGCCACAGAAGCGACACGTAAACTTCTTGCTGTGTGTGGTGATGTGACACTGCAGCTCCACCTCGGTTCCAAACGTTTCACCACAGAAGATGCACTTTCTGGGTTTGAGTCCTGAAATCAAATCAGCTGAACATCAGAAAACAGGCTGGAGTTTTTCCTGAATCCTGTGCAACAAGCAGCCACCTGCTTTAACCAGGCTCCTTCTTTAGCTCTGTTTCAACATGATCACTAACTGGTCGGTACCTGCAAGGCCTCCTGGAAGGCCCAACCTTTGGCCCAGGTGGTTGTGTTTAACGTGGAGCTGAAGATCTGCTTCCTTCCTGAAGTCCCAGGCACAGGCGGTGCAGCGGAACAGCTTCTTCTCGTTGCTGTGTTTCACTGCTAAATGCACCTGGAAGAAGAAGACAGAAGAGAAACTGGAGTCAGGAGACGTGCAGACCTGGATAGAAGCTTGTGTTCTTGTTGTTGTTGTTGTTGTTGTTTTCACCTGGATAGAAACCTTGGAGTCAAAGACCTCCTGGCAGAGCGTGCAGTGGTACAGGACAAAGGTGTGCATGTCCAGCAGGTGTTTCTGCAGGTCATCTACAGATGAGAACTGTTTATCACAGCTCTCACACACGTACTGCGTGGACGTGGTGGTGTAGTGCACCGTCAGGTGTTGAAGCAGTGCTTCCTGCGACTCAAAGTCCTCCTTGTTGCACTGGGGGCAGGACTGGCGCCTCAGCAACATCTCCAGGTGTGACTTCAGGTGCGTCTGGAAACCCTCAAAAGTGGCAAAGCGTAGGTCACACTGGTTGCAAGGATAATCCCCGTTGCTTCCAACAGATGGGGTGGAGTCACCTCCTGCCTTGTGGCGTTTTGGAGAGGAGATCTCAACATCAGAGGAGGCGGGGCTGAGGTCGGCCACCTTGGCCTGCCGTTTGTTGTTGGCCAGCGGGATGTTCTTGTGGTTCTCCTTTATATGTTTGGTGAGCTTGAGGAGTGAGCCGAAGATAGGAGAGTTGGTGCAATAAGGGCAGGAGTAAACCTGGATATAAACAATAACTCTTTAATTTGGAAGATTTTTCTTAACCAACCTTTGTTTAAAGAGTCATTCAGTGATTTTTAATCCTCACCTATAAAAACACTAACTGGACTCATTTCAAACACTTTAACAATCTGCTGCTAAAATCATTTGAAACCTTTTTATTTTGTTTAGAACTGATGCAGGGAGACATTTAATTTAATTTAATTTATAGGGTTTTGTTAATAAACTGAACTAGTTGAACTCCACTTTGCTCTTGTAGTTTGCAGAAACATGACTTGTTTAGATTCTTACCTCCATGAAGGACTGAGATGCAGCCTGGAGAACAGGAGACTCCAGTTTGGCCACGGACCCCCCGGATGCAGCAGCTGAGGGGCAGTGGGTCTGCTGAATGTGTTCCGTCAGAGACGACTCTGTCAGGAACCCCATCGAACACTGGTTGCAGAAGAAGGCATGGTTCCCCTCTGGAATGGGAGACGTTCTGTTAAACACCAACACCACACAGAATCATCTTGTTGCAGGACTGATTGGGACAAAGCAAGTTTTCTGAGGACTGGACACACCTAATGTGGTGGACCCAGCCAGGATCCCCCCGGGCAGGCAGTGGGACACTCTGATGTGCTCTTGCAGGGAGTTGATGTCTCCGAACATATCTGGGCAGTAGTTGCAATGAAAGGCCGTGACGTTGGTGAACTGGAGCAGAGGGAAAGCTCCTGCTGCACCTACGCTCCCTCCACTGGAGCGGTGGGCTTTACGCACATGCTCGTTGAGATTGTAGAGCGTGGGCAGAGTTTCCAAGCACAGCTGACAGGTATGGCTCTGTTGTGGCTTATCAGCATGGATGGTCTTCAGATGGATCTCCAACACAGCCAGACTGTGAAAGTCTCTCTTAGAGCAGTAAGGACAGGAGTATGTCACTTTAGCCCAGGCCCCTCCTGCTCCTGTGGGAACAAACAGAAGTACTTTTACAAGTGCTGAAAGTATTTCAATAAAGTGTTGAGAGTATCTAACAGTTATCATGATGGAGCAAAGGGAATAGGTCCAAATATAAGATGGAAGGAAGCTAAAGTGTCTGAAACAACCCAAACATTAACTGTCCATCTGCAGCTCAGCTCCATCTGTCCTCAGATCAACTGATCTGATGTATCTTACAGAGTAAAGATCACTACAGTACAGAGTGATCAACGAGCTAAGACACTGACTGATCATTAAGAAGTTACATTTCCTGTAAAATTAGTGGAATATTCGAACCCTGATGGCCCAAGCTGATCCCCACGTCGTCCGTGGTGTCAGCTCCTCTCCTGCGGCCTCGTTCAGCACCCTGGCTGGGCTTCAGGGTGGAGTCCGGGGTAGAGCCTCTCTCCAGGCTGGCGCTGGAGTCGGGAGTAGCTGAGCTCATGGAGGCCACACTTCCCAGTGCAGGATCTGGACTGGCGGCGCTGTGGTTGGAGGAGTCAGGCTGGCGATGGCTGTCCAGGTGGCAGTAAACATCTTCCACAGAGGTGAACTGCTCTGTGCAGACGGGACATCTGAGGACAAACATGGAAGGTTGAAGTTTTCCAGAGCTGTGGAAGCTGGACAAAGCAAAGCTGTGTCGTACTTGTGTTTGCGGTTGGCGTGCTGCGTTTCTATATGTGTCAGCAGTGAAGCCTCGTCCAGAAAGATCTCAGGACAGTGGATGCACTGCAGGTCAGCTCGGTCCGACAGCTGGGGGTGACGAGTCTGGACGTGCTTCTCCAACTCATCAGTCTGACTGAAGGTCTCCTCACAGTAATCACACATGTACAGATCCTGGTCCAGGTCCCCATCTATTCCCACTCCTTTCTTTCCTCCATCTTTTTCATTCCTCAGTGCCAGATGCTCCCTGTTCTTACGATGAGCCTGGTAGAGCCACATCCCGTCCAGAGACACAGCACAAGCAGTTAATTACAAAACCCCTCCACAAACACTTACAACCCTTTAAACTTTCCCACATTTTGTCACTTTTCAACCACAGACCTGAAACCTCCACCTGTTCAGGAAACTTGCTGCACTACTTTTACTGCTTGTTGTGCACAAATGCATTTTTTAGAATGTTTTTAAATTATTGTTAATTTTTTATAGCTGTATATGATGTGCTGTGTAAAAGACAACTTTCTGCTTTATGGAACAAACAAAGTTATCCACCTGTCTAAAGCATTTCACTGGGATTTTATGGTAGACCAACAAAAAGCAGGACAGCGATTCAGGACTTCAAACAACTTTGAGCTACAAGTCTTTACAGGTTTTTTTTTACTCTAACAGCTTTGGACTTTTACAAACTGAAATTTTGTCCCATTTTTCTTTGTAAGCAAACTGCAGCTCAGTCAGACTTGAGGGAAAGTTTCAGTGAACAGCAGGTCTAATGTCCTGTCACAGATTCACAGTTGGACTTAAGATCGAGATTTTTTCCCAAACCACTCCAACAAATCAACGTGCTTTGATCTGGACCAATCTAACAAATCAACATCTGGTGTGAGTGTATATGAATGTGTGTGTGCATGAATGGATGAAGGACTGTAGTCTGAAGTGATTTGGAGTTCTTGAACTTGATAAAGCACTACACAAGTTCAGTCCATTTCACATAATGTTACAGAAATAAACTGATCAAAACCTAAAGATCCCAAAAACAGAAAGCAAAAACATGATAAAGAATACTATAAATACAAAGAATGTGACAAAACTAATGCTCTTCTCACTGACCTGTCAGTTCATGGTCAGACTCTGATTTGTAAAATCTTTGAAACCTATGTATTACATTCTTTTTACTTCATTATAATGGTCTACTTTATGTTATTATAATTTTTAAGTCTCTTTAATTAACCAGGCAAATCCCACTGAGATCACAGATCTCCTTTGAGCCTGTAGGCAACCTGTTCTACATGTTTTAGGTCTGTGGGAGAAATCTGATGAAGCCGGGAAAAACCCACACAAGCATGAGGAGAACATGTAAACTCCACACAGAAAGACCCCAGGGATTGAACCCATGACCTTCTTGCTGTGAGACATCAGTGCTAACCACTGAGCCATCATGCAGCCAGTCTATCACATCAAATTACAGTGAAATAGTTTGTGTTTGGAACGAGACAAAACGTGGAAACATTGACAGAGGTGAGAACTTCTTCATGTCTTTGTAACTCAGGGACACTGTGAACATGAACTAATATGACAAGCTCCTGGGTCAGCTGTAAACAGGTTTGTTGAAGTTGAGAAGCAGAACTCTAAAGAAAGAGAGGATTTACCTGCATGTGGCTCTGCAGGGACGAGGTGGAGGAGAAGCCACGCTTACACACAGAACATTTAAACGGTTTGCTGGAGCTGGTCATGTGATTAAACATAAACATTTTAATGTGCAAGTCTATTTCTGCAGAGATTGTCTGGTAAACAGTTGAGAAGAACTTACCTGTGGGTCTTCAGATGGATCTTCAGGTGATCAGAGCGAGAAAAAGCAGCTTCACATTCCTGGCAGCTGTACTTTTTATCTCCTGCAGAATTGACAGACATTATGATCAGTGATTAGAACTTTAGATAAAAAGCTTTAAAACTTTCCAGACTTGAATCTAATCATCTTTTTCTTTCAGCTGCTCCTCTCACCAGATGTCCTCCCTGATGCAACGTGGACTGGAACCAGCAGCCTCAACTTTACAAGCTGCTTGCAAAGCAGAAAAAGAGCTACAAACTACACTGCCTAGGTCTATAAATGGTCTAACTATATTAATATCTCAGTGGTGTCTTTGCTCAGAAGCTCTCCTTCAAATGTCACTTTGACCATATTTTAAACAAACTGAAGTTAAAACTAGGATTTTCTTCAGTATTTCATGTTTTTGTCTTGTGGCTGATAAACATCTTGTATTGGCCTTCCTACACCTACTGGACTATGGTGATGTGAACGTCCCACTCTCAGCCAGCTCTCTGCCTACAGACGTTGAATGTTGCTTATCATGGAGCATGGTGATTTCTTACTAAAAGTAAACCTGTCACAAACCACTCTAGCCTACATTTACTGGTAAACTGGCCATCTTTATTTCCCTGCAGACACTGGTATAATTTTATTTACAAATGTCTCCTTGGTCTGCTGTCTTCATACCAAGATGTCACAGAGTACAGTCAGCCTACGCTCTCTGGATTTTAGTTCTTTTAGTGTCTCCTTGTTTCACACAAAACTTGGGGAAAGACCTTCGCCTATTCTGCTCCATCTTCCTGAAATAAACTGCAGCAAGAAGTGAAACTGAAATTTCAAAGAATCACAATCAACAATCACTATTTCCAACCTGTTCTTGTTTATAGGTTTTATTTGATTCAACTCCCTTATAAATATCAACATCATGTTTTATGGTGTGTGTGTGTGTGTGTGTGTGTGTGTGTGTGTGTGTGTGTGTGTGTGTG